GTGGGGGGTGGTGTGATTGGCTGGATGTGTGGTGTGCTTGGTGGTATGTGTCGTGGGATGGTGGGTGGTTTTCAGGTGGTGGGTGGTGGCCGGCGTCGTGGTCTTGGTAAAGGAGGGCAGCTGGTGGTGTGATTGGCGGGGTGGGGGGTGGTGTGATTGGCTGGATGTGTGGTGTGCTTGGTGGTATGTGTCGTGGGATGGTGGGTGGTTTTCAGGTGGTGGGTGGTGGCCGGCGTCGTGGTCTTGGTAAAGGAGGGCAGCAGTGTGGCGGATTTTTTCCTACGGGGGCAACGTGGGTCTGATGGTTCGGCGCCGGAGCACAGCAAGTCACCAGGAGGCCCCGGCCTCTGCACCAGCCACTGCGATGCCGGTTCGCCCTGAGCCGAAGCCCATGCTGGAAGGAGAGCGACAGAGAGGCGGTCAGAGAGCCCGTGAGCCCACACGTGGCCTTGCCCCCCCGGTCACGAGAGCGGCTCTGAGTCAAGGGGCCTGCTCTTGGACGGCTAGGAGCCCTGGTGTTCCCACCGCCCCTCTGCTGCAGGTGCTTTTAGCAACCAAGTAGATGATCAGGGAATGGGCTCCCGAGAGTCTAGACTCCCTTTGGCAGCAGGCTCAGGACGGGCAAAAGGAAACACTTCTTCACACAAGGAGAGATGAAAATGTGGGATTCCTGCGTCGGCAGAAGATGGGGCGACGGCCACAGGCAGCGTCAGAAGGGGGCTGCCTTCACGGAGGAGAGGTCTGTCAGCGGCCGCTAGCCGTGGGGACCAAAGGGAACCTCCACGTTCCGAGGCAGTCTACCTCTGAATCCCAGTGCCACGGGGCAACATCAGGAGAGAAGGCCTCGGCCTCTGTGCCCCGTTGTTGGCCCTCCAGAGGAACTGGCTGGCCACAGTGTGAGACGGGAGGCTGGACTGGATGGACCCTCACGGTTCTGATCCAGCAGGGCTCTTCTGATCTTGTCGGTCTCTAAGATGCCCCCAGACCCCCCCCCCCGAATCTCTCTGTGGAAGCCCCTTTGCCCACCAGCTCTTACGGAAAGGGGGGCAAGGGGGGGCAAGAAGAACACAGGAACGAGGAGAGGAAGCGGCTCCGTCTGCAGGAGCGGAACATGAGGAGCCTGCGGCACCGGACCGGACCGACGTGCACCCAAGACACCTGTGAGCTGATCCCGGGGCCGCCCCCTCTTCTCTTGGAGGGGTGGGGTGGCCAAAAATGCTCCCTCTCAGCTGTGGAGTCCTGTGAGCAAAAATTCTACTTTCTGAGCTCCTGGCATTGAAGCTGTGAGCCGGCGATTTGGCTCCGGCATAGATCAGTCTGCTCTGGAGCCACATCCTCCCTGAGCTGAGGCAAAAAGGTGTGAGCCGGAGGCTAAGAAACTGTGAGCTGGCTCACACTGACTCAGCTTAGAGGGGACACTGGTGGGCGAGTACCTTCTCCTCCCCTGGGCCCCGGCGGGCAAGAGAAAGGGTTTCTGGGGTGCCGCCTTGCCTGAGTGACGAGGGCCTCTCCAGCACCGCAACCGGAGGGGGGGGCCCCTGCGGCTGTTCTGTCTCAGGGAGTTCTGCTTCCCTCTTCTGTGCCGCCTTTCTGCTGCTGCAGGAGTCCCCCCCTGCCCGCCCCCCCCCGGCTTCCAAGGAGGCAAATCCCTCCGATCCAACCCACCTGCAAGGAGGCAGCTGGCGGCCACCCAGAGAGCCAGCCCCGGGGCGGCAAACTTCGGCGGGATCATCTCTCTCGGACCCTCTTCTGCTCTCCTCTGGCCCGCGCTTGGGAGCTCTAGAATTAGGGAAGGAAATGAGGCGGGCCGGCCTGACTGGCAGGTGACTCAGTGGGACGCGGCGTTGCCCAACACTTGTCGCCACGGGACCCAGGCGGGGAGGGACCGGCTCCACCGGGGACTGCGGGCAGGGCGCCTTCGGGGGCACAGCGGGCGGGAACAGATGACCACTGGCTGACACGGCAGAACTCTCCAGGCTTGAAAAAGTCCCTTGAAGAACAGAGGACTGCTGGCCAGAGGAAGAGCCACTGTGCGTGGCAGGTGGCACGCACAGTGGCTGGTGGGGAGAAAGGCCTGGCGGTCGCTGCCCTTGTTTGAAGCGGTTCTCAGACCATTCAGGGCCCCAAGCCAGCGGTGGAAAGGCAGCCTCTCCA